GCGTCCTGAAGTTTGAAAAACCCTATTTTTGGCTTTTTTTTGAGAAGTTATAACAGCGCCAATACAACTTTTTTTATGAAATGTTGTAAGCCAGCTGAAAGTCCATAACATCTGACATATCTTCTTTCTTCTTCAGAATATCTTCATCTAATCTGTTATAAAGTTTTTCATGGAGAACTAGTAGGCAGTTGTTTTCTACGTTAGATCCACTAATTTATCTTATTTAATAGTTTCACTATGCTACCAAATTTATCATGTATTATAAGATCGTCCACATGGTGACATGGATCCGTTGACAATAAATTAGGAAAGCACTAACCGAATACCGCTATCAGATTAATCAATTTTTTAAAACCTTTGACCTCCAATAACATACATAAGTAACGGTATAAGACTTATAGTGATGATCATTCAGAGAAATGTTAAGTTTGGAAAACACACAGTAGTCCTTTACATAGTAATCGTTTTGTTGACCTTTTGACCTTCAATTACTTGCTTATACATCATCGAAAAAAGAGATAAATGTTCAATTAAAATCTTTGCAATAATATAACCTTTAATTAAACGGATCGGCATTCCTAAAGATTTCTTAACGAATTAATCATTTAATCTCTCTGAGAAACGTAAGTAGTGTGCATGAACACATACAAACCCACTAGTGTATGTATAAAATACGTGCCACACAGTATTGACAATGAGGACAAGTAGTGGGCCTTAATGTGGGTGTTGGCGATGGTTCACAGTTCATTATACCGTTGAGCAGTCACTCACATACACATTCATACTTAAATATGTTAAGTAGGGATTGGTAATGGTAGCAGCGTCTCTGGGTTCGTTACGTTTTATTTTGGTTTTTATTTTCCAAGTTTTTTTTTATATTTTATTTTTGCAAAAACTTTAGCAACAACAAAAACATTAGCACGGCATGCTTTTGATGTTGTTGGTTTTGTTCGTAGGCGATTAAAACTTTTATCCGTTGTATTTATTGTTTTCAGTGTCTTTTTGATGATGATGTTGTAGTAGTTGTTGTTTTTGTTGTTGATGAGGTTTTTGTGGTAGCATGTGATATGACCTCATTCCATGTGTAAGACAGTGTGCGAGTAAGAGTGAAAACTTAACTAGGAGACAAAGTTAAACATTTTTTTAGAGTAAAGAAAAGCAGTATAACTTTTTTTGTTGGTTTGCTGCTTAAAAATTTATGATTTTTTAAATGTAAATTGTTTGTATGTATAAGTGTGTGTTAGACAAATTAATTTATTCCAATTAATTGGAAATGTTTTGCTTTTAAAAGCCTCATTAATAAAAGATTGAAGGATTTTGGAAGCCTAATTTATTCTCCATGTTCTGCGATTTCATTTCGTTTGATTAAATAAATTTCTAATAAAATTTTTGAGATTTATTTTTTGTTTTATTTCGCTGTAATTGTTTATGTTTTTTACATTGAAACACGTTTATTGGTAATCCTTCTCTTGAATCAGTTTTTGTTTTTTATATTTTATTTTACTTTGTTGTTGTTTTTGTTCTTGTTTGACTGAATTCGTTTTTATTCTTTACTCTTTTCCAACAATTGAAGGTGGTTTATATTATATTTTTTTATACCTGTTTATTTCGTTTTTATTGACCTCATAACCTCGAACAAAGAAATGTGTGTTTCTAGTGAAAGTTTAAGTTAATTCTGTGGCAACCACTTTTAATGCACTATGGGAATGGTTAAACAAAACTTGGCATTGGCTTTATTTTTCTGGGATTTAAATATCTTTTTAAACAAATAATATTTATACTCTTTACATTAATTCGGCCAAACCTAAAGCTCTTGTAACCAAAATATTCTTAACTAAATGAGAATTACTTGTATTGATAAAATGTAAGTTGGGGACTTCAAAATGAATGTGTTCTTTTGATCTGTACTTATTCTAAAATTATTTAAATGCATTCCATTCTGCTGTTGTTGTACAATTTGGAAAAAATATATCCCCAAGTGGGACTCGAACTCGAGCCTGAAGAATATTCAATATATGATATAATTCCATAGTTCAAAAAAATCTAATAAAATGTAAAATGTGTTACTTCTGCAGCTGATTTCTTGGAATATTCGTCTAAGCAATCGTTCAAAGATCGACCTAATTTGACCTTGCGATCTTTAACGTTTTAGATATTTGTCTTAGTCCTTTTGTGTATTTTTAGTTTGTCAGTGTACAGCCTCCTTATATCTAGGTGAGAACCCCACTTTGTCAAAATTCTATAAGAACAGTTATAATCATACTTTGTAGCCCATTTTATGCTAACTGCGTAATTTAAACAAATTTGTTGCAAATCTGTTTTTTAAATGAATCAATCTTTGAAGCAACAAAAAGGAAAAATCCACTGCTCCTAGCAGCATTTAAATTTAAGTATTTTGTTAATATTTCTCTATTACTTATACAGCAATTTTGCAAATTGTCTGAAATAAATTTCAACAATTTGTGTTTACAGAAAAAATTCGCAAAAAAAAATTATTTAATATTTTAAAACATTTGTTTGTTTAACGTCTATGTAGAAATTTAAATGTTTGTATTAATTTAAAGCAATTTTTTTTATTAAAAAATGTTTTAATAAACTCAAACTTGATGGCTGACAGAGCAGCATACAACGTGATTTTGAATATTTACATCTCATTAAAAAGCTTTAAATCAACTTAATGAATGAAGGTTTTAAGAAAACAAAAAACTTTTTTCTAGCTACTACGTAGTTTTAATGAAGCCACAACAAAAAAGCCTTAAAGGTTTTTGAGTGATAAAAAAAGTAAAGAAAAATTCTTAAGAAGGTCTTTGGTAAAAAGTAATGAAGGTATTGAAGAAGACATTAGTCTTTAAAAAGTGAAGAGAGTAACAATACTATATATATTTATATACTAAGTATTTAATTATAATCCTATCAATTTTCCCCATCTGAGTTGAGTGATCACAATAACATTATCGGACACCACTACGTGATAAAATACCAAAACAAATCCGTGTCTCCCAGTTTTGCCCATACACAGAGGAATCCGTTGTCAAAAATGACCACGTTTGTTAACATTTAGACAACGGATGTGTATAAAATTTAAATAACACCCAGTTATCATTTTGACAACACATCGTTGTCATTGCAACAACGCATTGTTGTCATTTCAATTACGTTTTGTGTCATTTCGGCAATGCATCGTTGTGATTTTAACAACGAATCGTTGTCATTTCAACAACGCAACGTTCTGTTTGACTACACAGCGTTGTCATTTTGGTAACACATTATTATTTTTTTTGTTGATTTAATAACGTCGTGTATTGTTTATATTTTTGTTGTTAGTTTGACAGCTATTTGTACATACTTTGACAATGGATTTTATTAAAAAATTATAAACACTTTGGTGTCAATTTGGCACCAGGCATGTATAATTTTAAAAAGTCTTTTTCCCTCATTTTCTCAGGCTCATATCTCGCAAAAAACTTCATCTTCAAGATCAAAATCGCAAAAAAACTTTTAAAAACTCGTTTTTTTTACTTTCGAGTCCTTCTTTAAGTTAGTCGTATACTTAATATTTGTAATATGAATAAATCATTAACGCGTATACGTACAGGTGTCATTAATAAAAACGACTTTCCGCCTTTAGATTTCTCATATAAATTTCAATTTTTAATGAAAAATATGAGTGATAACTGGTTAGGTAACGTGGGTTGCTCGCTAGTTAGAGAGTTCACTCGGAGGCCTCGTGGCCTATTCTTTATACCCTTAGAATTGCTTTCGCTTATGCCCTCATCTCCTGGAACCCATATCAACTCAACGTGATGTTGTATTAGTTTCGACTTAATAACATTGGAATTAAGAGCCTTGATTGATGCAAAGCTGCCCAAGTATATACATATGTATGGTCGAATTTTCGAGATTTAGTTACCGGATTCTTCTCGCGGCTGTATCTGCCTGAAGAACCGTGCAGGTTTCAGGTAGTCGAAGAAGTAGTACACAGAGGGAAAAATAAATATACACGCCTGGTAACAAATTGACACCAAACGTTAATCCATACGCCAAAATTTATTAGGGTCGGTCCATATTTTCCCCCAGCCCCTATATATAAAACATCTTTCTCAAAGATTTTCATCAACAAATCACATGTTATTCTCATAACTAGGGTATTACAAGGTCGGCCTGGGCCGACTATAATTTCTTACTGGAGTTTTGTTTGTCTTGAATATGTATTCTTACATTAAATAAGTTATAAATATTTGTTAGAAAATTCAGCTAAATTTAATTTTATTTATTTATTTTGTTATATAAAATCCGTTTCCTTCTTGGAATTAAATAAAAATAAAGAAAAAATACCCACACACACATATGTAGGTTTTATTTAATACTAATAAAGACTAACGGTAAACATAAAATAATACTCATTTTATAACATTTCCGTTTCCTTTTTCAATTTTTTTGTTTGTTTGTTTGTTTGCTTTTTCACAGAAAATCGACTGCTGCTGTTAACACAAAGACGTTGGTGTGTAAATGCGAGGAATGAGCAAAAAGAAAATTAACAACATCATCCAACATTAAACATTTAATGAGAAAATCTTACCACTACAACAGCAACTACATACCAAATGACATAGTGTAGTTGTAGACATCGTTTAATCCTGTTGTGTTAAACATACATTATACATAATCATTATTTTTCCAAAAAAGACAGACTACACAGAGAGAAGACAGGGTAAACGAGAAAGAAAGTAGATAAGTATGAGTAATAGAATTAGTGTGTGAGTTTATGAAAGACAAGAAGGAAAAATATTCACCAAGTAGCAATACATTGCTGCTAACGCTGCTGCCACTACAAACTATTAAAGCTACTGCTGCCACCGTTTAACACAAAATATAACAATAATACAATGTCAAATGTCAAACATGAAAATCAAGATTAAAAGGAAACGGTTTCCAAGTACTGTTACTAAATAAAACTTCTATAAAACTACAGTTTTTGTAGCTGCAGTCTCTTCACATCGCTGGCGTTTGTGTGCCGAAACTCTCACCCACATATTCAAACATAAAGGACTTAAACATACACATACGAATTATTATTATTATTTGGATGTCATTATGTCGTTATGTACCGTTAAACTCAAATACATTGAAAATTAAATACTAAACAGCAAAGCAACGAGACCAAGAAAAAAAAATATATTTGTGTCAGTCATTATGCTGTTTGTTGCTGTATATTTGTGAATGAAAAGACCCTGACTGAAGCAACAACAGCAACAAAAATACCGAGAAAATCCTAGTTATTCAAACGTATAAATGAATGAAAATAATGACTGACTCACCGTCTAAACGTATGGCTGGCTGACTGTTTCTGCTTGCATTTATTTGTTAACTTTTTTTTCGATTCGTTTTTATGCCATTACCGTTGTGGTTTCTGCATTCATTTCTTGTTTTTCTCTACTCTACTCTACTCTTCGACATCTTTGTCATATTGGGTGGTGGGACTTTTGATTGCAGTGTTGTATTTTTATTATCCTTTTAAATACAAGTTTCAACGAAATACATCAACGTAATGGGTGATTTACAAGCAACAATTGAATTTTCAGTGGAATTGTATAAATTTTTTAATGTCGACTTATTTCAAAGAGGGTAAGTATTTACTACGTATGTTTTTTAATCTTAAGTTAAGAATTATTTATTTTGATTTTAGTTTTCTTGAGAATAGAAAGTAAGGGGAATTATATTCAAAGTACAAGAAAATCCTTCAAAATCTTTGTAGCTAAAAGTAGATGTTTGAAAAAATTACTTAACTTTGATAAGTAATTTTTAAGAATTCATTTCTAATACTTTAATAATATATGATGACAGAGTACTGCTACGATTACTAGTTGATATTTGACATAAGAATGACATTGAAATTATATTTTTAATATTAAATTAGCTAGAAAATGAAATGATTAATCCGTTTTAAGTGAAAGGTCCAGATTATCTAAAACAAAATTTATAATGCAAAGTAACTTCAAAACTTAGTGGTCTTCGGTAGGTTAGTAATTACTGTTCTGAACTGGTAGACCGGAGATCGTGGGGTCTATTCCGACTTGAGATATTGGTAAATGAGCGCACAACAGTCTGATAAAGCCGTATTAACTAACTAACTAACTAACTAACTAACTAACTAACTAACTAACTAACTAACTAACTAACTAACTAACTAACTAACTAACTAACTAACTAACTAACTAACTAACTAACTAACTAACTAACTAACTAACTAACTAACTAACTAACTAACTAACTAACTAACTAACTAACTAACTAACTAACCAACTAACCAACTAACTAACTAACGAACGAACTAACTAACTAACTAACTAACTAACTAACTAACTAACTAACTACTAACTAACTAACTAACTAACTAACTAACTAACTAACTAACTACCTAACTACCTAACTAACTAACAAACTAACTGACTGACTAACTAACTAACTAACTAACCAACTAACTAACTAACTACCTACCTACCTACCTACCTACCTACCTACCTACCTACCTACCTACCTACCTAACTAACTAACTAGCTAACTAAATAACTAACTAACTAATTAACTAACTAACGTTTCCGGAGGAACTTTTATATCGAATAATACCGACTGTTCGACTGGACAAGAAGAAATGTAAACAAAAAAGGAACATAAAAATATCTATATAAAGTCCGACCAATGATGAACTTTATAGATAGGAATGAGTATCAACTTCTGAAAATGAGAATTTACACTGACATCAAGTCGATCTTGATGTGGCTTAATTGGATTTTTAGTCGATCAGGTTTGATGCCCCAACCGCAGAAAAGATTTATAATTTGATCAACAGTATTGCTTAATGATTCCAAACTCATAATTCTGCAAAATATTTTTATTAGATCAGATTCCTGATACCAAGAGCAATACACTGAGTTTATTTGCGTAAGTTTGTTTAACATCGTATATTGCCAAGAATGACCTGGTAATAAGATATAAATATTCTTGGGAATTAAAGATTTATTAAAAAAAAAAACAAATTTACTAGCTTCTCTTCTGATCTATTCTACAGCTACAAAGTTCCCATCGTTACTCTTTTGACTATATAGTATATTTAGCTTAAACCTATACTATCTCCTTATCTCAAGTAAGGATAACTAACATCTATACTATCCAAAAGTAACTTCTTGAGTCATTAAGTAGATATTTTATATTTTTGTGGCCCCCGGTAGGTTAGTGGTTAGTGTTCTAGACTGGTAGACCGGAGGTGGTGGGTTCGATTCCCACCTGAGGCACTGGTTAAGGAGCGCACAACAGGCCCGATAGAGGCCTAGGTGTATTTCTTCGGATTTGATGTATATACATCCTCCTTTCAAACTAACTAACTAACTAACTAAGTAGATATTTTCTATAGGTAGACATTTTGACAATATTTTCCTACAACTTAAATCACACGAAAATTTGTGACGCTCTTAGAATTCGCTCAAATTCGGTCAGATACCACGAATTGGAGATCTGACTATAACCCATAAATTTCCTAAGTGCTCTTGCACTAGGATTCAAAACCAACCTGACAAAAATCCACCTTCAAACTAATTACAAAATCTACGTATGTTTTTCAACCCACCTTTTAAGTTTTTAAGAGGACTCAATTATTGTGACATTCAGGCATGACTTAACAACAAAATCACAAAAAAAACACAAACAATCTCATCTTCACAGTCAACTGAACAGACACTTCAAATTTAATTTAACCACAATGTCAATCGCATAGAGAAAACTAAAATATAAAAAACTGACAATTGTTTTTAAATTGTTCCCCTTATAGTTGATGAAAATGTTTTTTAAAATGACCATTAACCTTTATGTGTATTACTAAATAAGCTAATGAAAGAAGAAGAAGAAAAAAAGACAAGTGAAATACTTAAAAAATAAACCATTTGATTTTTCTCTTTACAGTTTATATCAAGTACGATGTGCCCTGCGTGTCTCACCCCGTTTACCGGTACAAATCGAGACCACAATACCAGAAACCACAGCTAATGGCCAGCCAGCAGCACAGCCCATTATATCAAATGGAAGTGGTGCTAGCGGAGGTAGTAGTGATGCTGCTAATACAAATACCAACAGTAATGGAAGTGGTAACAGTGCAGGTTTAGGAGTAGTAGGAGGAGGAGGAGGTGGTATTCTCGGTTTGTCTAATGGCAATAATATTGTTGTTGTTGGCGGCGGCGGTGGCATTGAAGCAGACCTAAGAGATCAACAACTTCATCATCAACCTTCCGATATACCACCACTACCTAATAATGTGCACAATTTAGGTTCGGCCAGTATAATTAATGGGGCGGGGGCCTCACGTGTTTTTCAAATACTCTATCGCAATGAAGAGGTGACATTACGTGATGTAATATACTTTCGAACACATTTATTAGGTGAGTATAAATGACTTGGTAATAACTATAAGTATGCGAGACATCACACACATAACATCCTCCCATCGATGCGACCACCTCCCACTTTTTGTTTTTCATCTGATTTAAACACATTCAGTTTGGTTAATGGTGTGTGTATTGAACGATTTTATGTTCATGTTTCAATGTTTGTTTAATGTCATTATGGACAAGCAGACTAAACAAAGAAGAAAAAAGAAGAAAATCATGAAATGAATATAAAATCAAAGGTGTTCCTTCGTTAGAAAGGTGATTCAAATTAAAATGTCTTTCTCTCAAAATGACTTAGTCAATCAATAACTACATATCATTGGCGATATAACAAAGTAATCAATAGGATACTTAAATACTTTTTGTTTAAATCTTTAAGAAATTTGATGAATTGAAAAGTGTTTTGAAAACATGCTCGCAAATAACAGAAAATATTCGGAAATCCTTGCTCTTTCACTCTAATTAAGATATATTTTCTATACAAACTCTATCTCTAATTGAGAGCTATTTCTATAGAAAATCTCTCTCTTATTGAAAGATATTTTCCATCGATATTACATTACATTTAATAATTTCTCCTAAACAATAACCATTTTTACAAACGTTCTGCATTTCCTCAACTTTTTCCAATCACTTTGATTTCAAATAATTTATTCATGATAAAACAAAACCTCAAATTCATCTCTTTACAAATCGTATCCCTTTTGTACTTTCATACTTTTGACTAAATATGTATCAGTGGGTTTTCAAATCAAAATTTAGGTCATGAAAAATATGGGGAAAAAAGACTAGAAAAATATAACAAAAACTTCACTTAAACTACTTATTTTATTTTAAACAAATACTTGTAAAACGTACTAAATACGTACATACGTAAGCATTAAAGAGTTTGTTCTAATTATAAAAGTTTTCCTTTCATACTCGCATTTTCATTAAGGAGAATATGCTTCAATTAAAGGCTTTTATAGGCCATTAATAGAGGAAGTTTTTCTTCTCTGACACAGCTTGAATGAACGTGTACTTTTGTTTGCAGTCTCGTTATGCTGCAATATGTACTATTCATCCAAATTTGAGATACTTAGTAGTGATTTAGATCATAGAGAGAAGTGTTGAATGCAACTTGTGTTGGAGAGTATTGAAGTGGAGAAATGTGCTTTAATTGAAATTATTAAATTAAATAATCTTAGAGATTTAAAAATATAAATAGGTTTGCCTCTAAAGGCAATAGTTGTGTATTTGGCATTATGGACATCGAAAAGGCTCCCAAATTCGAAAAAAAATATTATTAAAAGTACTAAATTTTCTTCCTGTTCACTAGGTCACAAGTTGGTCTAATGACTAAAACAAGGACTAGTTACTAACTAGTACACAGACGGATTAATGCACATGATATTGACGTATCTATAAAGTCTTTAGACTAGTCTCTGGACTGGTCTACGGAATTTTTAAATGAACAAGCACTGAAGCAGAACTGAACTAGAACTAAACTAGAACTGAACTAAAACTGAACTAGACTGAACTAGAACTGAACTAGAACTAAACTAGACTAACTAAATGAACTAGAACTGAACTAGAAACTAACTAGAACTGACTAGAACTGAACTAGAACTGAACTAGAACTGAACTAGACTGAACTAGAACTGAACTAGAACTGAACTAGAACTGAACTAGAACTGAACTAGAACTGAACTAGAACTGAACTAGAACTGAACTAGAACTGAACTAGAACTGAACTAGAACTGAACTGAACTAGAACTGAACTAGAACTAGGAACTGAACTAGAACTGAACTAGAACTGAACTAGAAGAACTAGAACTGAACTGAACTAGAACTGAACTAGAACTGAACTAGAACTGAACTAGAACTGAACTAGAACTGAACTAGAACTGAACTAGAACTGAACTAGAACTGAACTAGAACTGAACTAGAACTGAACTAGAATGAACTAGAATGAAATAGGAACTGAACTAGAACTGAACTAGAACTGAAACTAGAACTGAACTAGACTGAAAGAACTGAACTAGAAGACTGAACTAGAACTGAACTGAACTAGAACTGAACTAGAACTGAACTAGAACTGAACTAGAACTGAACTAGAACTGAACTAGAACTGAACTAGAACTGAACTAGAACTGAACTAGAACTGAACTAGAACTGAACTAGAACTGAACTAGAACTGAACTAGAACTGAACTAGAACTGAACTAGAACTGAACTAGAACTGAACTAGAACTGAACTAGAACTGAACTAGAACTGAACTAGAACTGAACTAGAACTGAACTAGAACTGAACTAGAACTGAACTAGAACTGAACTAGAACTGACTACTGAACTAGAACTGAACTAGAACTGAACTAGAACTGAACTAGAACTGAACTAGAACTGAACTAGAACTGAACTAGAACTGAACTAGAACTGAACTAGAACTGAACTAGAACTGAACTAGAACTGAACTAGAACTGAACTAGAACTGAACTAGAACTGAACTAGAACTGAACTAGAACTGAACTAGAACTGAACTAGAACTGAACTAGAACTGAACTAGAACTGAACTAGAACTGAACTAGAACTGAACTAGAACTGAACTAGAACTGAACTAGAACTGAACTAGAACTGAACTAGAACTGAACTAGAACTGAACTAGAACTGAACTAGAACTGAACTAGAACTGAACTAGAACTGAACTAGAACTGAACTAGAACTGAACTAGAACTGAACTAGAACTGAACTAGAACTGAACTAGAACTGAACTAGAACTGAACTAGAACTGAACTAGAACTGAACTAGAACTGAACTAGAACTGAACTAGAACTGAACTAGAACTGAACTAGAACTGAACTAGAACTGAACTAGAACTGAACTAGAACTGAACTAGAACTGAACTAGAACTGAACTAGAACTGAACTAGAACTGAACTAGAACTGAACTAGAACTGAACTAGAACTGAACTAGAACTGAACTAGAACTGAACTAGAACTGAACTAGAACTGAACTAGAACTGAACTAGAACTGAACTAGAACTGAACTAGAACTGAATGAACTAGAACTGAACTAGAACTGAACTAGAACTGAACTAGAACTGAACTAGAACTGAACTAGAACTGAACTAGAACTGAACTAGAACTGAACTAGAACTGAACTAGAACTGAACTAGAACTGAACTAGACTGAACTAGAACTGAACTAGAACTGAACTAGAACTGAACTAGAACTGAACTAGAACTGAACTAGAACTGAACTAGAACTGAACTAGAACTGAACTAGAACTGAACTAGAACTGAACTAGAACTGAACTAGAACTAGAACTAGAACTAGAACTGAACTAGAACTGAACAAGAACTAAACTAGAACTGGTATAGCATTTGTGAAATGTACATACATATCTCTGGACTGGTCTATGGTTCACTCTATTGGCTAGTTTATGGACTGGTGTAAATTCTAGTCTACGGCCTGTCATTGGAGTTGTTTATCAATCAGTCTATGGACTGGTCTATTAATTCTACGGACTTGTATATTAACTTGTCTATGGACTGGTCTATTGAATAAGTTGTACACAAGTCAATAGACATTTGATACAGATATTATTATAATCATAGTGAACTTTATAATACATTCCTCAAATTTCAATTTTAAACCATTTCGCTTTTAATTAAAAATTAAAATCCACTTTACCATGTAACATATTCACTCATGTGGAAAAAGCCGAAAACAAAAGAAACCCCAAACAATTTCACTTTACAACCACTTGTCGTTTTGTATGCTGCTGCAGCACAAAGTTTAAAAATAAAAAATTTGGCATCAAGTTATTGCATTTTGAACTACCATAAACTGTATAGAAAATCCCAAAACTAAAAGAAAAATATAAAACTAAACATAAAATTGTTTTCGTCTCGACATGATTTGTTTGTTTTTACTGCCGCATTGCTGAGATTGTTTTACAAAATGTATGAATTTTTTTTTCGAAACTCTTGCCACAATTCAATTGCCCACCACCATCATGCTGGGCTATTTGATGATGGGATTGAAGAAACGGCTTCTTTTAAATGGCTAAAGACTTTCAGTTTATCTTTAGTTTAGTAGTAAAATGTTTTTATAAATGAAATTCATACATTGATGTCTTAGTAATGACGAAAGTATTTGGCACTTTAGGCTTTTGAAAGCGTCCAAAAAATAAAGTGGCCAAATGAATTTGGATTTGTAGATGCATTTATAGAGATACATTACAAAGAAGTATAACAGGCTCTAAGTTAAGAGGCTAAATAGAAAAATAAACAAAATTTTTCTATTTTTAGTTTTCTATTATTTATGTATGGCCGCAGCAAAAGTCAATTTTAAAACAATCTTCATTTTACATTTGAATTGGTAAATTTAATAAGATGTGGTTGAATAATAGATTGATTAAAAAATAAATAAACCTTAGATTTCAAAAAACAAAAGATTCATTTGTAAAGCCAGTTAATCTTGAAAATGTAAAGTATTACTTAAGTGTGAAACAGTGATGCCAAGTGTAGGGATTTTTCCCTTTTTGTAGGGATTTTTTTCAAAATTTTCACGTGTAGGGAAAAAGGGAAAGATTTCTTACTATTGTCAAATTGTAGGGATTTTTCAATTTCATAGTTTTTAACAACTAAAAATATACCCTTTCATGTATTAAACTTTAAAATTAAAAATGAAATCAGTTTTAAGTGTATCGTTAGTAAAAATTCCGCTTGTAATTTCTACAATATATGTACCTACATATCTCTACAAGACTGGCATAATCCAAAATTCGGGTTTCTTGAACTGAGGTCTACAAAACATGCGACATACTAAAATCTTTCATATAGATTTAATGTTCTGAAAATTTATAAAAGTAAACCGCAAAAAGTAAACGCAAAAGTAAACCTTATTTAAAATAATTATTTTATGAAAATTATTTTGTTGGGGGCACATAAAATAAATTTTTAACATCGAATCGTGATACTGCCATAAATCTTTCAATTGTCTTGGTTTT